AAGGTTCTTCAGATTATAAAAAGGTAAGAAAGAGATGTTTTTTTTAAAAGAACCTTTGACTGAATGCTTCTTTGTGGAACCAATAATGGTTCTTCTATGGCATCGATGTGAAGAACCTTTTAAGCACCTTTGTTTTTAAGAGTGTAATCTAAAATACTTGTGCTAGGACAATGAGATCAGTTTGGCTTGAGTTCCACCCTGAAGTATTCCAAAAAAAATTAAATAGATAGCCAATGAAGTTATTCCTGAGATGTACTTTAACAGGCTGCTCATATTTTTTAACACTTCTGCTTGTTGATACCAGACATTTTGGTGGTTTGACATATTTAGGCTACATTTCATGTCACACCTGTAGAAATCAATGTACAAATTTGTCTGTGTGAATTTGTTTAAAGAGCAAACAAAAATAACTAATACTTTTTTTTTATTGTTTGAGCATATAGAAGTAGTGTAAATAGTGTAGATATTTTGCATGGTACTTGACACGAGCCCCAGATCAACTTTGACAGCATTATGGCCCCTGTCCTCCATTCACTGAGGAACTGTAACAAAGGCCTCTCATGCTAGTATTACAGTGCCTGGCATCCGGCTGCACGTTTATGAACTACAGGCAGCCAAGTAGTTGACCAAAATAAATGTCATGTGTGTGTTCCATTTACTTAAAGCTTTTCCCCCCAGTTTCTTTTCATCATCCAGAATAAACAAAGCAGGGCCCCAAGTGCATCATGGTCTGTTAAATCCTTTCTGAGCAGCAAGCCTGTTTGTAAAAGCCCCCCCACCTGCCAACCTGTAACCTGAGTATGGTAGCAGAGGTGGGGTGCGGGGTCTTATTAGGAATATTATGTCTTCAAGCCAATACAGGTGCATAACTTTTTGATTTCACAGTTGTTTTCTCAATGACTGATAACAAATAGGCATTATTACAGGTCACCTGTTCATGCATATGATGTTTGTGTTTACACTACTCCTGTACTAGAAATAAAAATGATGTATAAATCCTAAACTATATTTCTGTCATGACAACTCTCGGAGGGATTAACATACAATGTTAATGTATTTGGTCTTGGCGGAATAGATCTGCTACGCTGCTGCTGCTGCGGCAGAGAAAGTACCAAGACTTGCTACTGCCAATACATCCACAACATGCTGCTGTAAGCATGTAAGAAATACTGCTGCTCATATAACGCATATGAATAACCCTCATATAGCATACATGAATCACCTCGTAGCAGATCTATACAGGTGGAGCTGGGGAAGGTGGAGGGTTTCTGAAGTGTGCTGTAAAACTGCTACAGCAAACAAAAGCCAGGTATTTGAATATTAAAGGGTTAGTTCACCCTAAAAAAATAGCCCATAAATTACTCACCCTCAAGTCATCCTACACAGTAAATTTTGCAGTGTTAAATGAACTCTATAAGAGTTGAATTTAACACTCGGCCCGAGTGTATTTGGTCCCACTCAGAATTGGTGATAAATTGACTCTTGTCATAGTGTTACATTTTCAGAGTTAAATTAACTCTATTTTGAGTAAAAAATGAACACTGCTCAACACTGAATAGTGTTACCAGAGTTTAACACTAGGGGAAATTAACTCTGTTCTGTGTTACCACAATTTAACTCTGCAGGAAAATTTACTCTGATTAGTGTTAATATTTCACTTATGTAGAGTTCATTTACTTTCATAATAGTGAAACATTATCTAATTTTGAAAACCCATTTGGTGTTTTAAAAACAAAATAGAAAACAAGATCAACGATGTCACATTTAAAACATTTATTAAAAAATGTTGTCAGGCTCAAGAAACATGTACATACATGGACAAAAATACATCACATCTGCATGAAATGACAAAACATTATATTCAGTACAGAACCTGTTGAACCTACTAGCTAAGCAGCCTTGCTCTTAACCTCAGCAAAGAAAAAAATGAAGTGTACATCTTGTGTAGAATAGTGGTATAAGTGGTGCCAAAAACAAAGTGTGCCTTAAGAAGTTTGTTCACCAAAAAATATAATTATCGTTAATTACTCACCCTTATGTTATTCCATTTCTATAAGACTTTTGTTCATTTTCGGAACACAAATAAAGATATTTTTAATGAAATCTGGCAGACTTTTATCCTTTCATTGACAGCCTATACAACTAAAACTTTCAAGGCCCAGAAAGGCGTTAAAGACATCATTAAATTGTGGTTTACACAGCAACTCCGATCATTTTCACCAACACTAGGGGGCATTTTTCACTATTTGTGGTTAAGTTAACTCCTTAAGAGTAAATGGAGTGTAACACTGCTTAATTAACACTGCCAATTTTACTGTGTAGGTGTATATGACTTTCCCTTCAGTCGGTCACTCTCGACGTCACGTCGGAGGACCGACGAATTGGCAAAACCACTCCAGAGAGTCCATACAGCAGACCCTGTGGAGTTCCTCCCTCCCCTCGGCAGCCAGACGTGGCGGAGCGTCCGGCGCCAGGCCTTCACTCGCTGAATCCTCGAGAACCGGTAGGAGGCTGGGTTCCATATGTAAGACCTAAGTGGATCTCATATGTGTAATGTCCACAGTATAGCCTTGAGCCCGTGTTTCCCCGGCAGACTTCTGAAAGGGAACATCTCAGTTACGTATGTAACCCTCGTTCCCTGAAGGAGGGAACGGAGACATCACGTCCCGTCGCCACAGCTCCTGTACCACCGCTGAGCGGCCGGGTCACCGGCTCGGCTCCTCAGCGAAAACCTGGGGGGTGAACAAAGGCCTCCCGTAGCGAATCGATGCGTTTTTGTAAGAAAAATATCCATATTCAAAACGTAATAATCACTTTAATGTAGCTTGTTCGTGCTCTGCCTGAAACGCCGCTCTGTATGTGCGCGCTTTGAGCGTGTGCGTGCGAGCACCAAACTGAATTCTACATGCACATAAATGGTTTAAAACGCTTGAATGTTTAAATTGGTAAGACTTAGAAAATGATAAACTATGATCCGTTTCACCCCTACAAGCGAGTGAACAACGCGAATCAAGGAAGGGATTTTTATATCACTATTCAAGATAGCCCGTCGGGCAGGGCAGTGATACATTTTGGTAGCCCGACTGAAAAACACAATAGCCCCGGGACGTCGGCCTAGCGATTTTACGAGCCCTGAGCTGCCATGTGACCATGATGTTGCCAGGTCAGATTGAGCTAGACCTATCGGACTGCGCCATCTAGAGTTTCATCCCAGAACTGTATTTATGATGTTAATAAAAACTCACAAGCATACTTGCAGTGTAAAATTATTAAACTAGCAGTTTACTGAGAGTATTCTTCAAAATGTACTCACATAAACTAAAAGTCTGTACGGTAACTAGTTAACTACAGTACTAGTTGCAAACCTGAAGAAACATTGATGTACGGTGCTCAATATTTACTACTGTTACACTTAAAATTAAATTAGTTCAAAACTTGAACTTTTCTTGAGTTCCTGAACTTAAAGTATACTAGTTTTTGTAAGGCTAAGTCCATGAGCAATAATTTTTCAGACAAAAATGGAAATTACTCAGTGATTTACTTTTTAATTAGTAGATGATAAAGACAATGAAAATCTGTCATGTGGTCACATTACTTGTGAGAACTTTGTGAAGTTTTGAAAACTAATCTAATTTGAATTGCTAATTTGAAAGTTTTTGTTTTATCAGGCATTGCAAATGGCAACTGCGAATTGTTCATGATAATCATATAGAGCTCTCAATGCCATAGAACAAGGAGGAACAGAACTGTTCACAAACTTCATTAGGACTCGTGTGTGTGTGTGTGTGTGTGTGTGTGTGTGTGTGTGTGTGTGTGTGTGTTCACACGCATTGTTTGAAGGTGCAGAAACATGAGATTTTAGAGTTTTTTTGTAAAAGCTGTAAAAACTTTTTTAAGGTACAAATTGACCTATAAGGACATTGACAGCCATCAACTTTTATTGTATGGAAAAGAGCCGTCTAAACATTGTGCTTGATACATCTTTTTGTGTTCCACTGATTAAAAAAAAAAGTAATGAGGGTGAGTTTCATTTTTGGGTGAACTGTTCCTTTAACGTTTTACATTTCTTCTAGGGAGCAGACCGAGTTTGATAGGTTAAATGAGGCAGTTTGTTACATTTTTTGTGATGTGAGGAGAGGATAATCTCTGCTGCCCTTTTCACCTGTTTTTGCTCCCTGCAAACCTGAGAGAGAAAAAAAATGTTCTCAAATACTTGTTTATTGGCAGGCAGATGATTCTACGGGTATAGTGCAGACATTATGAATGTTGAGCAAATTTGGGGTGGACAAGGCGCTATTGCTGGTACTGCACTGTGAAACGTCTGAGAGATGAATGCCAATGAGTGTTATGTCAGGTGTACAGGCTGGAGTTTGCCAAATCTTTGCTTTCATGGAAAAAGGCCAAATAGCACAGAGAGAGAGAGAAAAAAACCATTGTGAAATGACAGAGATAATAATTCAAGAGAGGATTTATTCAATAGCAATTCCCACTGTGATTAATTACCAGCAGTTTTAGGGTGGAGGCAGTATGATTTATTTTATGAAGATATAATTTTGTCGGAAATCACTCCTTGAGATTATTTAAATTTTTCAGGCAGCTTATTTCATAGTTTTAAAGTAACTCAATATTCTGGATATTTTTATAATCCGTATCATTGTTACAATGCTTAGGTGTTTGGTGTATTTTACAGTTCAGTTGCAATTTTAGTCAGTCAGAGCAGGATTTGTCTCTCAAATATTTTGGATAGAGTTGACTTTCTGAGGTAACAATGAAAATAAACAATACATCCAAATTCATAAGTACTATCGTAGTACTTTGTATACAGTGGATTTCTGAAATCATTTTATTTAATCGGTTCATTTTTTTGGGTCTATGAAAATGCGTCAATATCAAAAAGTAAGCATCAATGTTTGCCTGTGAGAATGAATTAAGCTGAGAACATTTAGGCATGAAAGATTTTTAAGAGACATTTCAAACTATTTAAATGTTGTCTTTTCCAGGAAGCTGGCAAGTACAGGAAAGGAACTCAAAGATAACTTCCTGAGAGCCCTGGCGGAGCGGGAGGAGGCTAACCGCAGTGGGGAAATGACTGTGAGTACATTATTACAGCACTCCATTTGCTACGTAATGGGATTCCCCCAGAATATTTTTGCAATTCCATTAGGACGGGAACACAATCCACACTGTGTCAAATTCAGGAGGGTAACCCCCCTTCTCTCGCACACCTTGCTTTATTGCCACCTCAGCCTTCTTTCTCAGAGAAGACGCACCATAAACAGGAGTCACCGTTCGGGCCCCCTACATTTGGGCTCTTGTATTTCTCCAAACAATTTCATTTGTTCTAGTTTTTACAAGGCTATTTAAATTAATAAAACATTTTAGTATAGTCTGGGAATAGTCAGAGGGAATGGTTTTTATCTATTCATTAGGAAGAAACAATATAGTAGGTTTAAATCATTCCCTGTTTGTTCAAGTGGACTAACTTTTACCAGACTTCAGCAAATAACATACTCTAGTAGTTAACTTTATCCAATAGCATTTCCCACTGACTAATTTAATTAATTTTTTAAGTTTGTCTGTTACCGCGGTCATCTCGCGTGATTTTATATATCTTTTCACCACTTGCTAACACGTGTGTGCCTGCTGTGTTTGTAGACTGCAGAGCTCCTTATAATGATCCACAGTTTGTGTAAACACAAAACATTCATTTAACTTGAGCTACTTTCATTACTAATGTTTGTAATCCAGCAAATGTGAAGAGATAAAATTCTGGAGATGCTGGTGAAAATGTTTGCATTACTTCAGCACCTTTGGGCCTGACAGCATTTCAGGTTCTGCTCATTAAAGATGTATGATGACTTTAAAGAGCATGTGTAATTTCAGATTTTCCACAACTAATTGGTCCACAGGAAACCCTTGACAATCGGTAAACTTTCATATAGACAATCTAGTCTACTGCTGTACTGCATTTGTCATACTAAAGAACAACATGACAAGCTTGCAGTTTGTGAACAATGTCCAGATGCTTTAGTAGGATGTATTGATTGACATGTTTTTGGTCATTAGCTTTGATTTATGGCTCTTGTTCAATCATTTTTAAACATTTTGATTGGTCAATCATTACATTTTAATAGTTGCAAACAGGACAAATCCTAATCCAAATCCAAACCCAGGATTGATGAGACCAGGAAGGACTAAAATTTTAAACAAAAAATGGCAGTCCATGTACTGTAAGTCATGCCCGTAATTCAACTAAATGATAATTGTACATGGTGTATGTGTTATAACAGTTTGATTAGGAGCCTTATCACAATATCCAAGACAGACATCTGATCACCATGTGTCATGGCCTTGTGTTCTGAAATCCTTAGTAGATGAGAACCTTGTTTCATTTAATAAATCTGGGATAAAAAGATCTTGTTTGGGGATTTTTTACCTCCTACACAGGAGGAATAGTTTATTATAACTGCTTCATGGGTAAAATGGTGGAAGCAATGTTCTAATTCTAATAAATCTGTCAGTGCAACTTAAGACCAGAGAAATAAATGGAAGTGGGATGTAAACTATAGTCACATTTGTTCTGGCCAGCCAGGAAACGTCTCAGGTTACGTATGTAACCCTAGTTCCTCGAGGGAACGAGACGCTGCGTCGAGAACACTAGGGGAACGCCTTCAGTGACCCACGCTCTGAATCACTTGTGAAATCAGTCCAATAGCTGAGCGGTACGTCACGGCGGATGACGTCATGAACGGGAAGCTATAAAAGCACGTGCGGCAGAGCCAGCGTCAGCTTCTAGGAATGAAGCAAGCGCCGGCAGGGACGCCGGAAGTATGGCACCGAGACGCAGCGTCTCGTTCCCTCGAGGAACTAGGGTTACATACGTAACCTGAGACGTTTCCTGGCTGGCCAGAACAAATGTGACTATAGTTTACATCCCACTTCCATTTATTTCTCTGGTCTTAAGAACACACAACCTACAACGTGGCTTGCTCTCGCCCTTGAAATGCTTTGTCCTTGCATGAGCTTAGACATAGCTGGAGCTTATAGACTTTTGACAGACAACAATAAATATGACTGACACACACAGAGCGCTTCGCTGAATGACAGAAAGCTGACGCTGGCTCCGCCGCACGTGCTTTTATAGCTTCCCGTTCATGACGTCATCCGCCGTGACGTACCGCTCAGCTATTGGACTGATTTCACAAGTGATTCAGAGCGTGGGTCACTGAAGGCGTTCCCCTAGTGTTCTCGACGCAGCTCGAGTTCCTGAAGAGGAACTAAATGTTTTTCTGCACTCACCTTGTCACAACCAGATAGAAAACAAGTGTTTTACCTGACCCTCTTGTACTAACCCCAGTGGGATGTGTGAGTTTACGATCAAATGTGGAGCACACAGCAAGCTGAGCCAGCGACTGATGACAGACTTTCCCACTAATTGTTGACTCTGTAAACAGTGCTATTTTAAAGCCCCAATTCAGAGTCATAACCCAATATAATTGAGGCTGATATAAAAAGAACAAGTTGTTCCTTTTGTGCAGAAAAAACACTTTCTTGCTATCATAAATATGAGTGAAAATGTACTGTGCCGTATCAAGCAATGTTATGCTGACAGATCCTCAATTACTCAAAAGGTTTTGCTTTGCAAGTGTATAAGAACAGTTAGTTTATGCTTAGGAGGTATCTATTCATAATCTTCATAGAGTTTACATCAGGACTGTTTTCTTTTTTCCTACATGAAAATAACACATTTTCATGTTAACATAATTGTTTCAAATTATGTTTAGGTATTATCAGTTATTTGCATAATTTATTTACAGAATTATGTTGATTTTTCTGGCTTCCCAGGTCATAATTTTCAAAAAATTATATGTCTAAATTGCAATATAAATAATATAAATAATGCAGTATAAATAATGCATGACTGTGATTGGAAACAAGCCTGGCTGAACTCTGAACTATAAAGCTAAATTGGTGAACATGATAAAAACAGCTTGAAATTCACATTTTGAACATGAGGAAAACTCATAAGCATAACCTAGATTATCTCTGATGTAGTCATTTAATTTGATGTTTTCTGGATCTCCAAGGAGCAAGCCAGACAGTTTTGCTCACTAAGTATTTAAAAAAAAAATCTCTTTCATATCAGCCTAGTACATTTGGCTACTGTAACTAAACTACTAACAGCTACTGTCCTGGTAAATAGGACAGAAAAAAACACAACCATTTGATGGATGGATGGATAGATGGATAGATAGATGGATAGATAGACTGAGTTTTAACTTAATCGTGGGCTCAGATTTGGTCGAAAACAGGGGCAAAGCAAATGCTACTGTCATTTAAGTTCTTATCAGCACCATCCAGGCAGGGCGTTCTTGAGTCCTGTGGTTAGTGTTATCTCTTCAATCAGCTGAGCTCATAAAGCACTCAGCTCAGCATACATTGTACTTTTCCTCCTCATTGGTGTTGCGAAAGTTGCCTGCTGCCAAAAGTCACACAAACAAAAGGTGCACCTGGACAGCTTTGGCATTATTTACTCTGGGTAAGAAGGTTTTTTTTTATTTTTTATTTTTTTATCAAATCCAGGTCACACCTGTGCTGGATGCCTGAGGAGCTCCATTGTTGGGTGGTACACATTTGAAACTGAAGGTGCTCTAACCCCTAACCCCGCCCCGCCCTCCTGCTATTTGTTTTTGCTCTTACGCCAGTAATACAATGATATCAGCATTCATGCCCTCTTCAATTTCACAGTCAGTGGAGTTGATTTTTGTATTATTCATTCTCTATAATTTGAATTTCATTATGGAATTAAGTCATCCAAGTGCATCGTGGGTGGTTCTGAGAACAGTATCTGCAACCTCGGTCATATTGTTGCCATTGTGTGAACATGTTTTTGAGGTGATATGTGAATAAACAGTCACATAATAAATTAACGGGTGGTTGTTAGTGGTATTCTCCCTCATGCATTTATTTATGCAGAAGAAATGTTGCACATGCTAGTCAAACCACAGTTGCCAAGTAAGTCGTAAAGATGAAATTCTTTATTTGTTTAGGTTTATGATCAATCAGGGTTACCGGTAGGTCTGAAAATACTGTTATAGATGTAATGAGAATGACAAAATGCTGTGGAAATACAAACCTTATGTCCCCAAATCTGTGAGGGTATCAAATTTATATTTACAAATTTACATTTATTGCAGTATTATAATTCTTAATTTAAATGTAGTTAGTTGACACTTCCTATGGTGCGACATACTCTATTCTAAATGACTTAAACATGTAATTTTATTACCTTTTTTGAGAGATTACGTAAAATATTTATATATCCATATATTTATCATTCCGCAGGACCATTTAAATTGAGCTAGAAAGGGCACATTGGAACAAAATAAATGAATATTTAACTCCACAAACTAAAAAAAAGCTTCAGTACTCCTTATCTGAGTTGATTTTTACCTACTAATGAGCTTCTAATTACCCTTGAACAGATTTTGTTGTCTCAAGCAAACATTGCTTGCATTACCCGATTCTGTTTATAAAATAGACATTCTCCTACTGATTATTATTAAAAACCTGAGTGAAAAACATCTTAGCGTTTTTCTTATACCAAGCAAGTTCTTGTCTTTTGTCCACAGACCCAGCAAGTTCTGTATTGATAAGTTGTGTTCATGTATAGAAGATACTGTGGTCAGCCATGCAGTCCAAAGATCACATTAAGAAGCATAGAAATGAGTGAATTTCCCAGCCATATACCATTACAGTGAGAGTGTGTGTCCCGGTCAGTCAGCCCTTTGTCCTTGTCATGGCCAGTAAAATAACAATAGCATGTTGGTTTCAAAGCACTTGACCAAAGGTGGAGGTCCCTTAGAAAACAGTCTTGCAGAGCTATCATGTGACCTCCCCTTGAAAGCTCGACAAAGACTTTCAAAGGGTTGAGGGTTGGGGTATCTGACCCCCCTAAGTTTGGACTCATTCATAGAATAGACAAAGAAGTCCCTTTGTAAAATGAATTTAGATATGCTTGGTATTTTGTTAAGGGTGCTTCATTTTGTGGGTTGACACAATATTTGTACACACCATTATAATCTGAATAG